CAACATGAAAGAGAATTCGAGAGTAGTCGAGTTCTATCACAAAACACTTGAAATCAGCCAACAATCGCTCCTTCCAAATCATCCAGATTTGGCTGCTACCTACAACAACATCGCTGCAGTATATAGCGACATGGGAGAGTACTCGAAAGCACTCGACTTCTATCAAAAGACACATGAGATTCAACAAAAATATCTCTCGCCAAATCATCCAGATTCCGCTACCACTCACAACAACATTGGTTCGGTACATGACACCATGGGAGAGTACTCGAAAGCACTCGAGTGCTATCAAAAGACACTTGAAATTCAACAAAAATCTCTCCCTCCAAATCATCCATATTTCGCTACTACTTTTAACAACATCGGTTCGGTGCATTACAACATGGAAGAGTACTCGAAAGCACTCGAGTGCTATCAAAAAACACTTGAAATCCAACAAAAATCTCTCCCTCCAAATCATCTATATTTTGCTACTACCTATATCAACATCGGTTCCGTGCATGGCACCCTGAGACAGTACTCGAAAGCGATCGACTTCTATCAAAAAACACTTGAAATTCAACAAAAATCTCTTCCTCCAAATCATCTAAATTTGGCCACTACCTATAACAACATTGCTTTGATGTATAAGAACATGTCTCAACACTCGAAAGCGCTCGAATTCTTCCAAAAAGCACTTGAAATCAGACAAAAATCTCTCCCTCCAAATCATCCAGATTTGGCTACTACCTATGGCAGAATCGCTTCGGTGCATGACAACATAGGAGAGTACTCGAAAGCGCTCGAGTTCTATCAAAAGACATTTGAAATTCAACAAAAATCTCTCCCTTCAAATCATCTAAATTTCGCTACTACTTACAACACCATGGCTTTGGTGTATAAGAACATGGCAGAGCACTTGAAAGCACTCGAGTTCTTGCAAAAGGCACTTAAAATCCGAGAAAAATCTCTCCCTTCAAATCATCCAAAATTGGCCACTACCTATAGCAGCATCGCTTCGCTGCATGACAACGTGGGAGAGTACTCGAAAGCACTCGAGTTCTATCAAAAAACACTTGAAATTCGAAAAAAATCTCTCCCTCCAAATCATCTAAATTTGGCCACTACCTATAATAGCATCGGTTCAGTGTAGAGATGCACCAATTCCAATTCCACCAATTCCAATTCTTGGAATTGGTCAGAATTGGTAGGAATTGGAATTGGAATTGGTCGGAATTGATATGGAATTGGAATTGAAATTGGTCAGAATTGGTAGGAATTGGAATTGGAATTGGTCAGAATTGGTATAGGATTGGTTGGAATTGGTATGGAATTGGTCTGAAAGTAGTATAGAATCGATAGGAATCAACTAGAATTGATGTAAAATCGATAGATTTAGCCTAGGAAAATGACATAGAATTGATATCATTTGATATTCATTCAGCTAGACTTCACTTGACAATAACTTAGCGTTTGAAAAGTTTGATAAACAATGTTTTTGTAACTAATTTCAATTGACAATACCAAAAGTGCAGATGAAAATAATTCGCAATCCATTATTATTATTATTATTATTATCAACTGCAACGGTCTTTTTATCGTAAAGGTAATCTTAAACCTTTTTAAGTTACTTTTTTTATTAGATTCATTTCTCCTTTAATTAAACTGTAGTACTACAGGAAAATATTGAGTTTTTGTTAAAGTTTTTTATTTAAAACTACAGGATACCTATTGCACTTCGTTGAACGATTCAGTTATATGATGTTAATAAGTCAATTGACTATATTCATTCAAAAACCATGTATCTGCCATGCAGATATATGCTCAGCAAAAAAAAGTCTCTGTTTGAAACAGGAAGTATACAACGTACCCAAGCGATAAAAATTTACTTTCAAATAAAAATATTATCCATTGAAACATCGTACAGGAACTTACTTTGGTTTGATCAGTACTAGGAAATGAAAAGATAATCATCTGGACTATATATAGGAGTATAGATCTGAGGTCCCTCTATCTAACGTATATGTCAATTTCAAAAATTCATTGAGACTACATAGCATTATTATGCATTTTTCGGAATGATTCCCTAGAAAGGGTTAGTTAGGCAATGATTTCACCTTGCATAATATTATATCAAAACATGTCCTAACTCAGCCTCCTTCGATTGGTGAAAACCGCAGGTCGCTAGCTGTTGCCGTTCTCGAGATATTTGTCTTACACCCACCCCTATTTAATTCTGGCGCCGACAATAGTTCATCAAATTTTTTATAATATAGAAAAAGAAAATCATGGATTACGACAACAGATTCATGCATTAGAATCATGTGTTTCTTCTTCAGAAAATTTTGAGAACTATCTGAGGGTGAGGGTGTGGGTGGGGATGCTGGTGAATATGACTGTGACTGACTGTAGCTGTGGCTGTGGCTGTCGATGTACACAGGAGAATCACCCACATATACGCGAACATGCATGCGCACATGCACAAGGATAAGGTCACTTACCGACATCCTTTTCTTGGAAGAAAAATGATTGGGTCGAAATCTACCGGGAAAAGTTCATAAATTTTAGACTGGCATATCACTTCCACGTTCGATTGATTTCCAAGTTTTTTGTTCGAACCGACCCATATTCCTCGACCTGGACTGGAATCTACTTTCTCTACCTTTTATAACAGTTGATACTAGTGTCAAACAGCTTTAGAAGGCTTATCCTAATCTAGTGAGCTGAGAATGCCGACTCAAACATAACTACTTGGCAATCATTCATGGAAAAACGGTCCGATTTTCAGAAACGATATTTAACATGCCTTCGAAACTCCAAACTGAGCTTTTGAAAACTCAACACTTGCATGTGTTGGAAAGAGAGCGACAACAAGGCCTCTACTCTTAATAAAAAGTGCTTTCGTAGAACAGAGAGAAAGCAGTCCTCATAATAGCATTAGATAACTGACTGAGATATGTCTAGATAAGACTTACTAAGCAAGAGTGTATTCAGTGTATAGAGGTAGTGACTAAATCATCATATGACGCAGTTTGAATAGTTTGTGAGTGTGCTAGCATCTGAGAAAGACGAGACTCAGGTTTCATGTCCCTGAAGCGGTGGTGTTGCGGATTTTGGACTTTAGTTCAAGGATGTGGGTGTGAGTGTGAGTGTAGAGACAAGAAACAATATGATCCACACCCACACCCACACCCACACCCACACCCACACCCACACCCACACCCACACCCACACCCACACCCACACCCTCCAAAAATTTAAAAATATTGTTAATTACATTCATCATCGAATACAACACATATTAATCATGTAGAAGACACAAACAAGCTTGATACTTGAATATAGAATAGACCAAAGGTAATTGTTTTTTGTTGAAAAGAGCAACAACAATCATATTTGGTATGAAAATAAAAAGGCATATGTAGTTTATGGGACCATTTATCTTCGTAAAAAGACAAAAGTTAATAAAATTAACTTTATCATTCACTGAAATCATCTCAAAGCATGAGGAAACAGTAGTTAACAAAGAACACATCTTTTATATAAGTCTATAAGCAAATGTATAAAAATTGTGACTTTTCAAAAGAAAATTAATAGTTTATTCAAGGTTTTTATTGATAAATTTACTAGTTATCAAAACATTTACACATAAAAACTATATTCTATTGATATAATTTTTAACTAATTCGACCGGTGTTCTGCAATGTTTCAACATCATCATCATCATCATCATCATTTCAAGGATCGTGACCTTGAAAAGTTCTGTTTTTCTTTTAGATAACTTTTGAAGAATTAATTATTCCAGATATCCAAACGTAAAGATCAATTCCTTTTGGTGAGATATATAAAATTTTCTTAAGATTAATAAAATAAAAAAGGGAATATTTAGGATAGAAATTAGTTTGAATTTTATCTAATTTTCCAATTATTCGGAAGAAATATATTTATATAAGATTAGGAGATCCAAATGATAATATATCATAGTTTCGGAATTTCATTGATGGTGAATACCTCAGAATGAGTATATTTGCAAGAGCAGAACAAATGAAATATTCATAAAAATGAACTAATATTATATTTTAATAAAATAGATTTTTCTCACATAAAATGTTTGACAATAAAATGTGATTATCGAGTTTATGATCCTGATGATTATTAAAATAAGATATCAATGGAATAATTAGAAAGAATAGTGTAGATTAGATTGATTTATCTATTCAGAAGAAACGAACAGTAAACCGTAACTGTGGGCAAAACTAAATTGGCAATTGTCACAAAATCGAAAAAAAAGAAACATTTCCTGAAGAGAAAGATTCGAGAATGGAACGGTAATTTATTTTATTTACTGAAAATAAAAGTCCGATTATAAACACCAAATAATTTAATTTGCTTAAAATTAGTTCTGATTGGATTTCGAATGACTAGAATCAGTTGGAACAGAAGTTTAAAAGCTGCATTTGTTGTACACTTTTTCTCTGCTAACCAAAGCTCATAGACAATAGAGTATAGATGTGGGTGTCGGTGGATGTAGTTGCAGTTTTTAGAGTAATATCGACACTCACACCCACCCACACCCACACCCACATCCTCAAGAGAAATATGTAAGTGAAATGGGAGGAAAAAGATAAATGAGTCTCATTTACTCAATTCTATACTATTTTATATAAAGAAAATGACGTCTCACATCTTCTTTTATTAGAAAATCCCTACAACATTTTGAAGAGAAGATAAGCATGCTAATTTATTGAAATTGTCACGATCGGATAAGAAAGTAGAAGATAAAAAAGGGAGAGAGAAATAAGAGAAGAAAAAAAAGATGTGCGTTAGAGCACTCTAGCAAAGTTAAATATATTTAAATAGATATTTAAGTGGAAAATGGTTCCGAATATTTAGAACTGAACCGAATCGAATCAAAAACAATTCAAACCGAACAGATTCTATCACTGACTCACACTCACACCCATCCCAACAATAGATACTCGCGCATAGTTTAGGTTTCCTTGTCAATGACCAACTTTATTTCAGACTTTTCGAATGCAAATCCCATACGGACGTACATCTGTGCCATCTGGACTAACCCAATAACCTCCAGTTTCAGAGCTATTGGACTGAAGCTTTTTCAAAGTTTTAGGATTTACACGATTTTGAAACACAACTATATATTGTTCATTGTTATGAGTAAACTTTTTTGCATATTTTTCAGCTAAATTTATGTCTGGAGTCGAATAAACACCATTAGTAAATGAATATTGTTTTTCTTGTGTTAAAGGATAGCCACTCTGTGCCATTGTTTTATTTTCAAATTTACCTGTTCCATGATATGACACAGGCCACTCGTCAATACCAGATTCACAACCTATCCATAATAAGTTTTCATATTTATCAGAAACATTGAGAGCATATCGTCTGAATCCACAAGGACGAATGTATTCTTCGCCACCTCGCCAAAATTTTTCATTAACATCTTTGATATTTGTAAAGTCAAAATTATGTCTTGGATCTAAGGTTGCAGCATTCAAAATATATGGTTTGGTAGCAGGTGTCTTTTTTATGAGATGAAGTGTAGATCCATGCAATATATAACATTCATCTAGAGATTTGCCGTCTTCTAACTGTCTTCCGCCAAATATAAGACGTTGTTCATCAGGTGGTATTCCTTTCAATTCATAAATACGTGCTTTAATGCCGTCAGTCGTGGCATCTGACTCTAAATCGCAGTTAATTGTTGTATTATCTAACATCTTAATAGTTAATAAATATCGTTCGTTTGCTGTTGAAGTATTAGGTGTGCCACCAACTGGACCATATAAATATGTTGTTTTATGATGATCAAACACCGAAATTTTCTCTACTTCATCAAAGTTCAAAACATGTGTAAGCAGAGGTATACCCATAATGGCTGAAAATGCAGCAGTTATCAAATCTGCATCTACTTGATCGGGTATAGCAGCAATCTTCGTTGAAGATGGAAGCTCCTAAAAAAAACGGCTTCAATGCAGATAGTTCATGGAAAAATATTATATGTTTCTGCATCATTAGATGACAATGACTTTTTAACAAGAAGTGAATAGGTACTTGTCTGAATATATATTAAATCGAGAATGAAATATTTATAGATGGAACTAGTCATCAATGAGTATCGTTTCGGATAAGGATGTAAAAACTCAAATACCTTAGTATTTCCATTAAAACTGTAGATTTGATTGTACTTCAAAATATGAATATCTTCATATGCATGTACATTGTGATGTATAGAGGGGGTAGATGTGGGTATTGCCGTGGCTGTCACTGAAGCGATGATCTACACCCACACACTAACTCCAATGTAGAAAAAAAACAAGCAATTACTGCTATCAAAACTGATTCTCCTTTGCATGTTCTTATTTCTAACAAAGCGTTGATTAAATCATTAGAGATTTTTTTTGTAAGTAAGATTAATTAATGGAATTGAAAATTTCTTTGTTTTCTGGAGCATCGATACCAAAATAGAGAAAATAGTAATAACTTGTGTAACATGGGGTATCAAAAGATAAGTTGTAGGTTGTTCATTCCCACGTGATTTTTTGCACTGTTGAGTATTGTTAAGAGTGTAGCTATAGGACTATATCTTTAGTTTTATGTGTACTGAGTACTTTCCTTAACGGCACAATAACAGGTGCAATAAATCAAATCTAAAAACTTTACACCGTTTATTTCTACTCAGATTTTCTTAATCTCGTAACCTGCAATGAACCGAATTGTGGTAGAATTTGCTGTTATGGTTTCGCCAATGTCTTTTTTTTCATTAAAAAGTCTCACTGCTTCTTTTGTCTTCTTCACGAGTCTCTGCATCTCTAATACATCAAATGTTTCACTTTTTCTTAAGAAATCATAAGGAGCATTCATCGTAGAAAAATAATCCTCTGTATTGATCACTCTTTCTAGATGTTGGAGAATAGCTCTAATTTCTCCAAAAACTAGTTCTTGCTTTAAAACGTGTTGCCTCAACAAATGTAAGCAGGAAACTACGGTGTCTTATATGTTATAAGGCGAAGAATCTCCAAGCTATATCTCCTCAAAATATATGTGAAGATTCAATCTTGCTTTTTTGCGTAAGAGGGCATGTCATTTTCTTGCTTTTCTTCCTCAGTAAAGACCATTCTATTGGAACTTTTTGGAAGCCGTTTACTATATGCTCTTGCAAACATAGGTCTGTACTATTTTTACAAGTAACCTTATTTGATTTTGTTTGAGTATCGAACCGGCTTGCTATTGTTGGCGTAGCTTCAGTTAATGGCAGTGTGCTTTCTCTCACAGATTGATTTTGAATTTGAGCTATTGGTGCCTGTGAATTCCTTTCAGACTGATTTGTCAATGTTGCTGATTCTAAATGAGAGAGAGAGAAACGAAAATTACTATATTAGTTATCATATTGCACGAAACGAGATTGCATGGCGCGGTTAAGTTTGCGCTAGTGTGTGGCATAGATAAAATTAATTTACTTGTTTGGGACCAGCATCAACACAGGTCTGAAAATTTCAGACCAAATCGACTGATATAGTGGCTTAGCTGATCTACATGTAGAAACAATGAAACTGCTTTCACAGATGAAATTGGCCTCTTGAAAATAAACAGAATGATGATCAAAAATTAGTTCATCAGATGATGTGAGTATACGGGTATGAGTGTGGGGTTTGCGTGAAAGTATCACTCGTACCTACACACCCAATATATATCCGCATCTTGCTCATGCCAGAAATAGAACATCTTTGCAAATGCTTCAGTATTTCATGATATCGACATCAACTGAGCTTGGACTCAGCCATGAATCTCCATACGATAGAAAAAAAAAGAAGGGAGTTCTTGTATTTCAGCAGAGTTTGCTTCATTCCTGCGTTTTCTAGAGGTTCCACCTTCAGACTCTTCAGCAATTTTAGTACTTCTATTTACCGACTTTCTTTAGTTATTGGAATACAGTATCATTGGATTTACCATTGGTCAGAGTCTATATATATGATTGTGCTTCACATTGGGCCTATTCCATGGGGTTTCTCCCACGAAAACATACGAGTCTTTTGAATCGACCGAAACTTACTTTATTTTGTAGAGCTCAATGAGTTGTATTTACAGTAAAAATATTAGCTCATAATATTGTTCCTTGGAAGAGATAGAGGCTCTACAGTTTTAGCTGGGAATCCGATATTTAATAAAATATTAAAAAAATCCATAATTCTGTGATCCTCACTTTTTCAATGTTACACTAACAAAAAGGAATTCTAATTATATATTCTTACTCCCCAAGAGCTGGCGCATTTACTCATATATCGCTTGTTATTTTTCATTTATCTAATAGGATCTTTTTTTGAGCCATTCTAGTGCTCTATGATAAAAATGACAGTGCTCAAAGTCAGTCCCTAGGAACTCTATTAAGCTATATTCCATGATTTGGTGATTTAGTGGATTTTGTAGAGGAGACATTGCTCTATCAAACCCTACTTTTAATATTTCATTCCATCTCGAAATGATTGAGATACAGGTATCGACTTTTTCTTACGAATTATCTGAAAATCCACAATAAACTGCCAGGGACTGTCATCAAATTAATCTTCTGGGAGCATTCGTTTTAGATGAAACTTTCAGCATTTGTAGAGCTCCTAATTGTGAGTTATTCCTATAAGTTTCAGCTTNGGCTTTCTCATTACTAAAATGCTTCTACAATGTGTCTTATTGAATGTCATATGAATCAAAAATTTTAGTTATTTATTTGTTGTTAACGTTACGCTAAACTGCCAGAGTCTCAAACTGAAAAAGAAATTACACTGTAGCTGCTTCATTTAATCGTGCTCTCTTTGTCTTTGAGCTTACATATATTTCTGAACATGACTTAAATATTCGCTGTGGACATCTCAATCTTTTAAACAAAGTTAATTTTCTATTAAGCATGGTGTGCTATTCAGATCAAACAGTTGTAACTCGAGGTGAAATCAAAAAAGTTACATCAATACTGCATGAGTGTCTTACTTTAGAAAAGAGACCATTGTCCGCACACATGCCTAACACTAATGTTGTTCTATTGAGAATTTGTGTGATTTAGAGCCTTCGGTATTTCTTACACAACTATTTTTGAAAAATTTCGAAATCAGGAGAACAGATATTCTTAAAGAAAAAGAAAATATGGCTTATTGTATTGTGTTAATGCTTTATCCTTTTTTTTATGTGATTCTCAATAAAATAATTTGCTTTGATCGTTTTGCAGATGATTTTTTCTATTGAAATACGACTGGCCATGAGTACTCAGGAAAGATATTTCTAAATCAAGAAATTTTATAGTGATTCTAGATGATGGTAAGTCTGATCTGTCGACATATTCATCGTCTACATAGACGTTAGACATCGTCAGATTGACTAAATATTACTCGGAATTGATTCAAACACATAAACAAAACATGATTATCATGAAATTCATTACTTTGAGTTCCACAATCTATTTACTGTTTTCTTGTGTAGAGCTCGTTTCATTTTAAGCAGAGTGTTTTGTCCGATGAAAAGTGGACGTTTTCCTGACGTTATCTATGGGGTATCCGGTGGGCAAAAATTCGGTGCTGTTGTGAAGTTAATACAAATTATTAGGAGTCGTCTCATATTCGAGCCTGTCGCAAGTAAGTCAAGTTTGAATAGGTTCAAAAAACGACCTTGTTCGCCTTCCTCTTTTAATTTCTTGTTTAAGAATTTCGAATAAATATGTAAAAGACAATATTTAACAATATGACTAAACTACGTTCATAACTTTGAAATTCTAATTAGATTTTATTATTTGTTCATTATAAATATATTATAGAAGAATTCCACAAATTTCTAATATTACTCTTCATTTCTCGATCAGAAATTTTCCGTAGGATATTTGCTATTATCGCCCCATAGACTCGTAGTTTATGTTGACGACATTTGGCCATTTATATGTTAGTCTGTATAAATAAAATAAATTTGTTTTGATTTATGACGTGTAGATTAAACTTTTTCCATTAGACATTATTTGTTTAAGTCTCGAAAAGCTACATAACAATGATAAAAATGAAGATGCTTATCATTGTTCCATTTTCAACATTCGGATTCATAAGCAGAAAACGAAACCGCTAATTGATTCAACAGTAGTCAAATCGCCATTTCCTAAAAGTAAATAGAGTGCTTCACTCACCACCCTTAACTTCTACTGAAATATTAAATCTTCACAAAAACCCTTTTGTACTTCTAATTGTTTTTTAGTTTTTAATCGAATTTTTTCGGCTGAGAAAATGAAAATATTTTTGAATTCATGAAACCTATTTATGGTTAAAATTCTGGAAGTGTATTAGGCAGATATTACTGTGTGAATGGGACCATATCCCGAGGGAGAGTGTGAATGTGGATGAGTGTTTGAATCGGAGCTGAACAAAATTAACCTAAACCAAAACCAAAACCAAATCAAACTAACTCATATTTGATATAAACTTACTTTGACTATTCTTTTGACCTATGCGAATAGAGTTGTTCAATAGCATCTTCCGTGGAAGAAAACTTCTCAAGTCAATTTCGACTAACTCCGACAAAAGTACTTTCTTCAAAGTCGATGCCATCGCTATTTCGTTCATACTCTTTTTCAAGTTTCTGCTCAGATTTTGTAAGACACAACATATTCAGATATCGACAATGCATTTTCAGGCCTCATCAAGAGTTGGATCAGGAAATACAGGAATTCCCTTCATTTTTTCAGATTTGCGTTTGAAATGTATTAGAATTTTATTTTCAATATTATCAATATATACCAATTTCATCAAGATCTCAACTAATTTTCTTTACAGAATCTGTTGAGCGTCTATAAACCTATAGTTAATAACTGTATGTTCGTAGAGATATTTAAATGAAGTATTGCTCCGAAATTTTCTTCAGGATTTACTTCTATTACAGTTAAACAGTAACCATTGAAGACCACTATAATCTTGCCTCTGATCTTGATCATATTCTTCGTATAGTCTAACGAAATTTTTCCCAAAATTTTAAAAGATTTTTTTTCTACACTCTTTCACAAGTTGATCTTGAAAATTCATTTAAATAATACCCGTTAATATGGCAAGAATGAATATACAAAATATATACCTCTATAAAATTCAAATGTAACTATTTAGTACATTCTTTTATGAATATTAAAAGAAAATAAAAAAGCTAATTAGTCATTCGCGAAATAAGATTAAAAGAAACCTCGTTTATAATACGAATCTGAAGCATACGTATGTAAGAACCTGTTTTATCTATATTCGAAAGTTTTTGTTATTCGAATATTCTTATTTTTACTACACCAATATCTTTGCAAAATATTTTAATGATAATATTTTTCATTGTTTCTTCTATCGTAGTAGATGCTTTATATAATAGGGTAAAGCATTTTAAATATTTGCAAAGTATGAATTTCTGCTTGTACGATCTTACAGTTCCCCATTTTAACGAAAAAGAAATATACTATGATTATTTTTTCAATTTTATCCATATAAATCGAGTAGCAATACCGAATAAAAGTTAGAGTGTGGGTGTGGGTGTGAGTGGGTGTGGGTGGATGGGTGTGAGTTTTATATTTAACAACACCCACACCCACACTCACACCCTGCGATCGAAATAGCGGTGTTATAACACCGCTATTTAATCGTTATCGACGAAATAGGACGTGTTCTTTTATTGGAATGTCCTTACAACATTTAGAAGAGATTAAAAGAGTGATAATTTATTGAAATTATCACGGTCAGATAAATAAGTAGAAGAGAAAAAAGGGAGAGAAAAATAAGAGGAGAAAAGAATAAGAAATAAAGATGTATGTTACAGCACTCTAACAAAGTTAAATGTATTTAAATGCATATTTAAGAGGAAATCGGTTCCGAATATTTGGAACCGAACCGATCGAATTTTTCAAAATTTCGAACCGAACCAAAATCTGCTCGGTTCGGATCGATTTGGTTTCAAACCGAACGGATCCTATCACTGACCCACACCCACATCCACCCACACCCATCCACATCTATACTAGATACTCTCGCGTCGTTCATCTTTTCTTTGTCAATGAACAGCTTTATTTTCTATTTTTCGAATACAAATGCCATATGGACGTACGTCTGTGTCACTTGGACTAACCCAATAATCTCCAGTTCCTGAATGACTGGATTGAAGTTTAAACAAATTTGCAGGATTTACACGATTTTGAAAGACAACTATGTATTGTTCATTGTTATAAGTAAACTTTTTTGCGTATTTTTCTGCTAAATTTATATCTGGAGTCGAATAGACGCCACGAGTAAATGGATATCGTTTTCCTCGTGTTAAAGCATAGCCATCCTGTGCAATTGTTTTCTTGTCAAAATCACCTGTTCCATGATATGATACAGGCCATTCACCTTTACCATTATCGCAACCTATCCATAGTAAATTTTCATATTTATCAGAAACGTTGAGAGCAAATCGTTTGAATCCACACGGACGAACATATCTTTCACCACCTCGTATAAATTTTTCGTTATCATCTTTTATATTTGTAAAGTCATAATTATGTACCGGATCTAAGGTTGCAGCATCCAAAATAACTGGGTTGGTAGCATGTAACTTTGATACGAGATGAAGTGTAGATTGAGGGAGCATATTATAGTCAGACATAGTTTTACCGTCTTCTAATTGCTTTCCGGAAAATATAAGACGTTGTTGATCAGATGGTGTTCCTTGTAATTCATGAATACGTGCTTTAATTTCTTCAATCTTGGCATTTGACTCTACGTCGCACTCAATTGTTACATTATTTAACATCTTAATAAATAATAAACATCGATTGTCCGCTGTTGAAGTAGCAGGTGTCTCACCAACTTGACCATATGAATATGTTGTTTTATGATGATCAAACAACGAAACTTTCTCTACTCGGTCAGAGTTCGAAACACTTGTACTCAGATGTAAACCCATAATGGCTGAAAATGCAGCAGTTATCAAGTCTGAATCTGTTTGAATGAGTGCAGCAACATCCATTATTGGATATGAAAATTCCTAAAAAAAGGCCTCAATGTAGATTGTTCATGCAAAAGTACGAGATATTTCTGCGTCATTAGATGAAAATAGCTACATAACAAGAGATGAATAGATATTTGTCTGAATATATGTCAAACCGAAAATCAAATATTCATAGATTTAACTACTCACCAATGAGTGTCGTTTTGGATAAGGGTCTAAAAACTCCAATACCTAAATATTTCAATTCAAACTGTAGATTTGATCATATTTCAAAATATGAATCTCTGCATATGCATATATATTAAAATTAAGGTAAAATACTCTTCTTAATAATCAGATAAATTTATAATTAATTCACTTTAAATTTTTCTTTTTTATTTTATTTTATTTTACTTTTAACTTTAATTATCTTATTTAATAATGTTTATATATTTATTTCAAGTAAATCGATAAATTAAACTTAAGATTAGAAATAGAACTAAACCTAATATTATTTTATTCTATTACGGAAATCTATACATCTAATTTTCAATGAATAATTAAGATAAAATAATTATAAATAAATAGGATAGAATAATTTGAAGTAAATAATTAAGATAAAAATAAATTATTAGAATTAAAAAGATAGAATAATTTTAAATCAATAATATAAGATAAATAGAATGAAATGAATAAATAAAATAAATAAGTAATAAATTAATTGAAAAGTAAAAAGAATTGAATTGAATTATAAATTATAAACTGAATTTGCAAACGTCTTCGGACCAGAATTGTCCTTCATCAGAACTTTGATGTTAAACATATGATTTTGACAATAGATATTTTTCTTTTCTTTTTCTTTTTCTTTATATATATTATATATATGATAGTGGTACGGATAAGGAGAACTGGGTGTTGTTTCCTACCAGTATTACCGTCTTGTCTTATCCGTATCACTATCATATATATAATATATATAAAGAGAAAGAAAAGAAAAATATCTATTGTCAAAATCATATGGTTAACATCAAAGTTCTGATGAAGGACAATTCTGATCCGAAGACGTTAGCAAATTCAGTTTATAATTTATAATTCAATTCAATTCTTTTTACTTTTCAATTAATTTATTACTTATTTATTTCATTCTATTTATCTTATATTATTGATTTAAAATTATTCTATCTTTTTAATTCTAATAATTTATTTTTATCTTAATTATTTACTTCAAATTATTCTATCCTATTTATTTATAATTATTTTATCTTAATTATTCATTGAAAATTAGATNGTCTGGTTTTGGTCTGGGTGCTGGTCCTCTTTCGTTCCACGCCCACACCCACCCACACGCACACCCACACCCACACCCACACCCACACCCACACCCACACCCACACCCTTAATTAGAAGTTCTCTATCGTTTCTTCGTATGACTTTAACGAATTGTGATTAAATGTTTCTTAAAAATCTTGAATGTCTACTTTCATGTTTTTACAATACTGTTCGAAGAGTTTTCATTGATGTTCCAAAATTTAATTATGGTAAAAAAAAGTTCTATTTCATACAGAATTTCTAACATTTTAACTACTCTATAATTTGAAATATATTCTAGTTGCTGTTCTTCATTACACGAAACTGCTTTATAAGGGTCTATTTCACAACAAGTTTTTTCATCGGCATATTATTTAATCTTTTAGAAATGCAATCAAAGACTATTTGATACATTAGAGTGAAATAGTCTATGATCACATATCTAAATATGTACCGATAGACACTGAACTGGCTCTTGTGTAGGAATTAGTACTCGGAAAAATGTTTATTGTAAAATATTGAGATTGTCGCAATTCGGATGATAACGATAAATTCTGTAGTTCTTCAGAGAAAAGATTCATTTTTTTAGCCATATAATTCAAGATTCCTTTTACATCGATTTTCAAACAAGACAAGTAGATATTGTTGTTTGGCTTCATTTCAATAAAAGAAAAACGTTTTTTGGACAAGGAACATTGAAAATAATTGCATACTTACTCTTTCCAAATGGTTCACACAAATCTCGAATTCTCTCTTCCGCTATTGTTGTCGGTAATTTTGTCAATATGATTCTAATATAATCACGTTCAAGAAGAATCATTTGAGTAACACCTCCGGCGCCCATTAAAATTCGAGTTCTTCCTATGATTTGTATTTCTTCAGTTTCTACGAGTAATTTTTGTTTCTCTTTTTGAATCATTTCTTCAATAAAATTTTTTGCTTTTTCTAAATTAACTTTACGTGCCCAGATTGTTAACCTTGATTCTCTATAATCAACATCAATAACAGCTTGAGTTGTTTCTTCAAGCTTATTCAAATTACAATTTCGTTTACCAACAACTGCTCGTAGTAGAGTTGCGCCGATATTTTCCAATACACAATTTTCATAAGAAATTGCATGTAAATTATCTCCATTCACAGCAGTAAACCATTGTCGAGAAACAGATTGTAACCAATGGAGATCACTTGAAGATAAAACTGTGATATAGTTAGTTCCGTTGAGATTTAGTAACTCATTAAAGAAAACATATTTTGGCATTTGGTCATTTGAACATAGTGAGGATGTACGAAATATACGTGCTATGACTGGTTCATTAGATGTTTGAGGGAAAGCAGAAATAATTTGATAGCCAGCTCTGAGTGGTCCATTTGATATAGCTAAATTCATAAAATGATCAGCTGTTATACATTGTAAAATGCGAGCAATGATATCATCAGTTAGTTCTTCATTATCATGAAGTTCTATTTCATGATTCATTTGTTTAGCCTTTTCTCGAATAAAATCGTGAGCTAATTGATTTTACAATTTCGAACTCAACAATCAATTAACACAAAGCTAATTGAAAGAGTATAAACAGTTAAGTCTATCTAATTGAAAAAAAAACAGTAAAATATGCTCTGATCTCTACAAAAGCAGTATCGTTTCAGCAGGATTCTCAATTAAATACTTTACTTCAGGAGTAAAATCATGTATCCCATTGATGTGCCCCTTTTGAAATTGAAATGTACCCGAAATGTACCCCATTTTGACTTTTCTAAACCCCATTTAAAAAATGAGAAATGACATCCTTGTTTCAAGTGTTAGATATATGATAATATGAACAAGCAATAATAATCTTTTTCAGAATTTGTTGCATTGCAATTTGAAATAGGGAGGGTGTGGGTGGGGTGTGGCTGGGGGTGTGGATGTAGGTGTGGGTGCGGATGTGGATGTGGGTCTGGATGTGGGTATGGGTTGTCTGTGTGGATGTGGCTGTAGGGTGTGAATATTCTTTTTTTTACCCACACATCACACCCACTCTCCACAGCCACACGTGCGTAGTCACACCTATAGCCACACCCACACCACGCACCCACCCACATCCACACCCACACACTCACACCTAGACCCACACCCACACACCCCCACCCCACACCTACCCACACCCACACCCACAACACTCGCACCCACAACCACATCCATACACCCACACCCATCCATCCACACCCTCACCCACACTCACACCCAACCGAATCGAATCGAATCAAAAACAATTCAACCCGAACAGATTCTATCACTGATCCACACTCACACCCATCCCAATACTAGATACTCTGGCATAGTTCAACTTTCCTTGTCAATGGCCAACTTTATTTTCGACTTTTCTAATGCAAATGCCATATGGACGTACATCTGTGTCGTTTGGACTAACCCAATAATCACCAGTTCCTGAACGATTGGATTGAAGCTTATTCAAATTTGCAGGATTTACACGATTTTGAAAGACAACTATATATTGTTCATTGTTATAAGTAAACGTTTTTGCGTATTTTTCTGCTACATGTATATCTGGAGTTGAATAGACGCCATGAGTAAATGAATATTGTTTTCCTTGTGTGAAAGCATAGCCATTCTGTGCCATTGTTTTATTTTCAAATGTACCTGTCCCATGATACGATACAGGCCATTCGCCTACAGCATCTTCGCAATCTATCCATAATAAATTTTCATACTTGCCAGAAACGTTGAGAGCATATCGTCTGAATCCACACGGACGAATATATCTTTCACCACCACGTGTAAATGTTACGTGATCATCTTTGATATTTGTAAAGTCAAAATTATGTACCGGATCTAAGGTTGCAGCATCCAAAATAACTGGTTTAATAGCAGGTACCTTTTTTATGAGATGAAGTGTAGATTGATGGGATATCCTACAGTCATACATAGTTGTACCGTCTTCTAACTGTTTTCCAGCAAATATAAGACGTTGTTGATCAGTTGGTATTCCTTTTAATTCATGAATACGTGCTTTAATGTCTTCAACATTGCCATTGGGCTCTACATCGCAGTCAAATGTTATATGATCTAACATCTTAATAGTTAACAAATATTTTTTGTTCGCTGTTGAAGTATCAGGTGTGCCACCAACTAGACCATATGAATATGTTGTTTTATGATGATCAAACAACGAAACTTTCTCTACTTCATCAAAGTTTGAAACATGTGTATGCAGATGTAAACCCATAATGGCTGAAAATGCAGCAATTATCAAATCTGAATCTCCTTGATCGGATATAGCAGCCTTCATTGTTGAGGTTGGCAATTCCTAAAAGAAAAACTGCTTCAATGTAGATAGTTCATGCAACAAAAGTACGATATGTTTCTGCGTCATCAGATAAAAAAGGCTTTTTAACAAGAAGTGAATGGGCACTTGTCTGAACATATATCAAATCGAGAATAAAACATTTACAGATTTAACTACTTACCAATGAGTGTCGTTTTGGGTAAGGGTGTAAAAACTCAAATACTTCAATATTTCAATTAAAACTGTAGATTTGATCGTATTTCAAAATATGAATATCTGCATATGCATATATATATATTGTGATACAAAGGAATGTTTCAACGATTTTGGTAAGAACCACGTGTAGAGGGTAAAACAAGCAATTACTGCTATCACAACTGATTTTCATTTGCATGTCCCTATGTCTAACAAAGTGTTGATTAAATCATTAGAGATTTTTTTGTAAGTGAGATTAATTAATAGAATTGGAATTTTCTTAGTTTCTGGATCACCAATACCAAAATAGGGAAAATAGTAATAACTTGTGCCACATGTGGCATCAAAAGATACGTTGTAGCTCGTTCAATCTCACGCAACTTATTGTACTGTTGAGTATTGTTTAGAATCCAGCCATAGAGCTGTATCTTTAGTTTATGTGCACTGAATACTTCCCTTAACGGCACAATAGCATGTGCAATAAATCGAGTCTTAGATTCACATAAAGGACTACTAATGATCCTACGTAATTCACAATTCATAAGGGTACCGACTATTTCAATATGTTCTAAAAACTCTTCACCGTTTATTTCTACTCGGATTTTCTTCATCTTGTAACCTACCATGAACTGAATTGTAGTAGGATTTCCTGCACTGGTTACACCAAACAAGAGAATAATGTCTTTTTTCCTAATCAGTCGGACTGCTTCTTCTGTCTTCTTTACGCGTCTCTGCATCTCTGATGCATCCAATGCTCCGATTTTTCTTGAGAAATCATAAGGAGCAATCACCGTAGAAGAATAATTCTCTGTATTGATCATTCTTTCCAGTTTCTGAAGAATAGTTCTAATTTCTCCGAGAACTAGTTCTTGCTTTTCAATCTGTTGTCTCAACAAATGTAACGAGGAAACTACGGTGTCTTATATGTTGTAAGGCGGAGAATCTCCAAGCAATATCCTCTCAAAATATACGTGAATATTCAATGTTGCTTTTTTGGCGAAAGAGGGCACATCATTGCAATTACAACGTCAATCTTTCAAATGCAATTGCTTTTCTTTCTTAGCGAAGGTCATTCTATTGGAGTCTTTTGAAGTCCTTTCTCTATATGCTCTTGCAAAGATAGGTCTTTAATATTTTCACAAGTAACCTTATCTGATTTCGTCTTAGAATCGAACGGCCTTGTTGTTGTTGTTGTTGACATGGCTTCAGTTTGTGGCAACGTTTCTTCTCTCGCAGATTGGTTTTGCATTTGAGTTCTTGGTGCCTGTGAATTCCTTTCATACTGATTTGTCAATGTGGCTGATTCTAAATAAGAGAGGCAAAGGGAAATTACTATTAGTTATCATATTGCACAAAATGGGATCGCATGGCGCAGGTAAGTTTGCGCCTGCGGTGTGGTGGAGATGTCAATAATTTTCTTTTTTCGGACCAGCATCAACACAGGTCTGAAAATGTTAGACCGAATCGACTGGTATAGTGGCTTTGTTGGTCTACCAGTAAAAACAGTGAAACTGTTCTAAGAGATCAAATCAATCTCTTGTTAATAAACAGAATGATGATCTAACATCAGTTCATCAGAGGATGTGGATGTGTGGGTATGAGTGTGGCGTGTGGACGTTGGGTGAGGGGGTTTTCATGAAAGCACCATCCATACCCGCAGACCCAATCCAAACCCATATCTTGCTCATGTCAAAAGCAGACAATCTTTACAAATGCTTCAGCGTTTCATGATATCGAAATCAATTGAGTTCGGGCTCGGGCACGGGTGTCCATATGATAGAGGAAAAGAAGGGAGTTCTTGTATTTCAGCAGAATTTGCTTCACTCCTGCCCTTTCTCGAAGGTTTATTTTCAAACTCTTCAGCAGTTTTAGTATTCCATTTACCGACTTTCTTTAGTAATTGAAATACACCATCATTGGGTCCATCATTTGTCAGGGTCTATGCATTTCACTGTGCTTCACATTGTCTTAAGCTGTCCAATACATGGGAGAGTTTTGTTGGCAGTAACAACTGGTAGATTTAGGTAAACGGAATTTCAACCTCTACACTAAAGTACTTGTTAACAGATATATTCACACAAATGAAACGTTTGTCAGTGGATCATAGATGCAGCTCAGAACAAAACTAGGTACACTGAAACCTAAGAACTTCCATTTTTTCCATCTTTCATCATCTTCAAATTGAAGATAATGAATAGTAAAACTTATATTCAGTCAAGACAATACTACTGTATTGAAAAAGAAAACTTTCTAGCATGTCAATCGTTGTCTGAAATTCAAGAGACTGTTTTCAAATTACGTAGTTCACATAACTACAGTTCGACCTCAGCTCTTCTGTTGTTTAAGAATATTGTTCACAGATGTTTCGGATAGTGAAAGATTACTCAACACCTGCTCAACATTTGATTTCAGTCTAAAAACATCGAAATCTCATGATAATTTGAGCGTAAGCGAAGATTTTAACCGACTACGATTATCATAAACTTCGACTGTATGTGATTGTTGTTCGAGTTATTCAACAAGCGATAATACCAAATAACTGATATAATAATCGTCCTGATTAGAATCATTCCTGATAAGTAAAACAAAGCAAAGCCACGCTAAACATAATATCTAGAAAATGTGTTTAGGAAGTACAATTGATCGCTTGACGTGATTTTGTAATCAATAATAAAAGTCTTAATCCAAAATTATAGAGAGAAGTCACAGTGTGTACATCGGCTTTTCAAAAGATAATAATCCGATCGTAGACTCATGACATATTTTCAACCAATTACAACGAGATTCAAACGTTCAAAATATACTAGTCTCTTTGCACATGTATCAAGGATACAACCGACTGCCTGAATGCGATACATCTACTTCTGCTCAGGTTTAGTTTTAGTCAACAAGCCCCCCCCCCCCTCCCCCTTGAGTGACATTATTGGTTGCCGATGTGAAGCTACTACGACGAATTTAGGTAATCGGCAAAGCCTCAGCCACAGGATCTATGCAC